TCCAAATTTGTAAATTTTGCGCAAAAAATAAACAAACTTGAAACCCCCTATTATAAGGGTGTTGGTATTAAAATATGTAGGCGCACAAAAATTACGCCTACAGTCAAAAAAAAGATGTAGGCACATTTTCGTGACACCTAAACAATAAGGGGGCTCAAGTCAAAATATTTGCAACCTTTTCTTAAAAAATTGGGGAAAGTTTTTTATGGTACCGTGCTGTAAAAACTTTTCCCAATTTGTAAAAAAGGACCGTAAAAATTTCTTCCGGATCTCCTTCTGAGCAGTAAATTTACGCAAATTTGCTGCTTAAAAAAATTTGGGATGTCGTATAACATTTCCCAATTTCATAAAATTTTGCGTAAATTTTATGAAATTGGGAAAAGTTTTTTATGATAAAAGTAGTAAATTTTTTTGACTTGAGCCCCCCTAATGTAGGCACTTCAAATTTACGCCTACATTTTATTTTTAGAATGTAGGCGTACACAAATGACACCTACATTGGTTTTTCAGCCTGTAGGCGTCATTTGAAAAAGGAAAAAGCGCCTACATCATAAATGTAGGCGCTTTTTCGTGGGAAACCTTCATGTAGGTGCTGTTTTGGCAGCGCCTACATGGATTTTGTGTGGGCTGCAAATAGCAAGGGCCTAAAAACATTGAGATTTTAAAGTTGATGATTGTCTACATAGCCAGAGGAAGCAAGTTTTTCAACAAGTCAAAAGGTAAGATGGATTTGACTACTTTTGTTGTATTAAAATGAGCAATTCTGTGAATTATCAGCTCTCACAAGTGATTGATCAAGAGAACTGCAAGAAACATGATATGCTATAGAATTGATACTTCTTCAACAGCTTTTATCATTTCTTATTGATCTTTGGTCATCAATCCTAGTATACTAAATTAATATAATCCAATTTGTGGTTGTGAATTCATTTTGTTGCTTTGTTTGATTCTGTTGTGTTATGAAAGATGAAAAGGAAATATGTACTCAAAAAATTGAATTGATTATAGAGACAGTTACATTTGGTGTCATGTTGTGTTGGTATGGCACTTCCCGGATGGTATGATGTACAAGATGACTCATGTTACAACACGGGATTTGGAAAACAAAAATCCATGTCGATGTGTGTTGGTATGAGTCATGCCGTACGGTTTTTGGCTCAGGGATGAATTTTGACTAAACATGACATGGAAAAAATACAAGTTTAACCCATGTCATGTTTATATGTCAGTATGAGTCTATACGTACGCCGTAGTCCAAACCGAAATGAAATTGATAGAGATTTTAAATCTCCAATAGTCTTGATAGCTTCAATCAATTCAGGAGAAACTTTCAAACAACACTCAAGGCAAATTTCCCACGTCTGCAAGTTTATACCTAGTAATTTGATCAATCTTGCTACTTGATCGATTGTACTAGAACACCGTTTCAAGCCATGTGTTTTGGACACCGTCTGACATCCCTCTGCATGTGTATGCCAAAGTTCATCCATAGTCTTCTAACAGGACATCAAAAATGATGTGCAAATAGATCATCATTCCAATTATGAATAAGGATTTTTGCACGTCTCCAATCCATCTTGATGGTTTCAAAATAAAATTGCATAACAGCTTTAGACCAAGTTTTGGATACCAGTCTCAAGTTGATTAGTTTTGTATATGATGAATTATCAAGGTAATGTTTCAATGCGGTTTGTCCAGGTGATCCGCGGAAAGTCTTCAATCTGTTGACAAATTCTGTTAAGATTTGATTCAAGATCTCAAATGGTAATCAATTGGTTTGGTTCATTTTATCTTCCTGGTTATATTTCTTCGGCAGTGATTCAATGAAACGTAAACAATTTGATTATCCTCGTGGCAAAAGTCATTGAAGATTTCATGTTCGTTTGATCAAGATGCAATCGAGGGAGAGCCTTCATGTCACTGGTGTTCTCCAAAGTCAGGTTGGGGTGTGGCTCTAAAAAAAGGGGCACCCTGGCGCGTTGTTTGAAAGAATAGGTGCATCCTCACAGTGCAAAAAATACAAAAAAAAAATGTGAAAAACAAAAAAAAAGGTTGTATTCCAGCATAGCACACGTAATGAAAACAAGACAATCAGTCAAATGTCATTGGGGTTCCACACTCACATTTGGCTTCTTGTTGCCCAGCTGAATGATCATGCTCTTTGGTGATGAGAAATCCAGTCCAACAAACACCGCAGCTGCTTGAGGGGGGAATCCATTTGCTTTGCAGGGCTGGTTGATGAGCACTATTACTCAATTTTTTGATTTTTGGCATTGGAATGATTGGGTTGATGATGAGGAACAGGTTTGCTTTCTCACTATAAGGCATACAGGTTTTTAGGCGCGCCTACCCAATTTTTGAAATCTTTGGGCACGCCTTGCGCCTTGGCGCGTTTTTTTTTGCGCCCCCAACCTGACTCCAAAGCTGCATGCTCTCAATTTTGTGGGGTCCAAACCGCTCATATGGCTTGGCTGGCCCTGGTCTGATAATCACAGCCTTACCTGACACAGGTCCGAGACATCGGGTGGGCAAAGGATTTTTTAACCAAATGCTGTTTTGCTTTAGCTTAAACAAAGTGTCCGCGCCCTCACAGAGGGGCTTATGCTGGCTTATGACTGATAGTGAATTCTTGACGTGAGGACTATATTACAAGGATTAAGTGTACTTGAGTACTTTTTCTCATTTTTAGGCTTCCCTCATAAGCAAACTTCACCTTACTCTGCAAGCAAAGTTGACCAAAACAACTTTTTACATGATCTTGTAGCCTAAGATGATAGGCACTCTGAATAATGCAGCCAAAAAAGTGGTGCAAAGATTCTTACAACACATCTGTATTGTTGATTTGAATGTATGCCCCTTTACATGTTGGACATAAGGCTTGGAAACCTGCCTCATGAACAGCATGATGGAGTGATTTTGCCCTCTTGATTAGAAGAGATACACATGTAGAAAATGACTAAGAACAACTTTCCTTGCGCGGTAAAGTGATGCTTGTCAATGAAGGAAGCAGAAAACCAAAAAATTACTTAAGGACACCTAATCCTTGTGGTCCTCACCCCAGGAATCCACAATTTGTCACAAGCCCATGGCTGCGCATGCAGCCACGCAGAGAGGGCTTTGTCAAGTTGAGGTTTTGCTCAATGAGTCAAAGAATCAAAAATTAAAAACTTCAAAGAAATTTCAATTTCCGCCAAATAGAAATTACTAGGGGGCAATCAAGGTGTGCTCCAGCCGGTATCTGGTATGTTCAGCTCATTCCAACAACCAAACTGGTGGGTTATGTGGCCACTGGATGATTCCACAGGCCTTTGTGGTATCCGGATCCGACAGATGCTTCATCTGGCATCTTGGCAGAAAAACTGTGTCTGGGTCTCTGACAACACGCTTAAACAGTCGTATCCGGTGTTCTGGAAGGCGCCCAGATAGCTCCTATGGAGCATATCAACAAAAAAAACTCAAAACTTCAGTTATTCATACCTGAATTTAAGGGTTTGGGGGGCCAAGAATACCCCTTTTGTAGGTAACATTTGCAAAAAAAAATCACAAATAATGCCAAAAAAACCTTGCAAGTCCCTAACATGCAAAGCTAGCCAAGGAAAAGTTAGGAAATCTTGCATTAATTCCTCCAAGGTTGCCATGATCTGATGCCAACAGGGTAAAAACATACTTTTTTTGTCCCTAACATCAAGAAAAATTCAAACCAAAAAAATACCTTTTTGGTCGGTACCTTCAATAGGAGCTATCCAGGGGCCTGTTTGGGCCATTCTGACATCCAAACCAGCAGATTATCTGGTCACCATATGATATCAAAGGCCTTTTTGACATCCAACTCCAACAGATGCTCTGGCCAGTATCTGCCAGATATTTGGTTCCAGAGCATGCCTTGAGGGGGAAAGTTACCCTGTCACTGCCAGAAGAGTAAGGACAAAAACATCCTTGAAATGGTTAAGTACATACCTCCCAAATTTAACAAAGTCCCTAACCAAAGGCCCAAGGCTTGAGCAAGGGCCTCACTGCTAAAAAAAAGATCCTTGCCTGAGAAGTGAGCTTGATTTGCTCAAATATTGCTACTTCAACATCCCTGTTTTGTTTATAAATAAATAAAGCTCCAGGTAAAATAAAAGTAGGACAACAAATGTCCATTGCATACATTACAACTAAAAGCTGAGCCATATCTTGTTTGAAACACCTGCTAGTGGGTGATAAACAACAAGTCTTTTTTCTTCTTCTAACTGGTGAGGGAGCCTGTATTTCTTACCAACAGGTGAAATTGATTTATCATTAATCACACAAACATGCCACTTTCCAGAAAGATACAAAGGAGGTTGCAATTGGTGCATATGTGATAAGATCTTACTCTTATCTTTGTCTTCTGCATCCAATATTGTTTCTCAAGGGATAAAAAAATAAAGTGATGTAGAAATTTTTGAGCAGATACAGCTCACTTCTCAGGCAACAATTTCCTTCTTGGTGGCAAGTCCCTTGTTCAAGCCTTGAGTCTTTGGCAAGGGACTTTGTCAAGTTTGAAGACCTCTAGGAAAAAAGTCTTAAGACAAATAATAAATAGTGATTAATTTTATGAAAAGGAAATACTTGCATGAATATTCTCAACATTGAGGGGCTCAGGTTGAGAATCCAAGCAAAATTTCAATCAGATGTGAGTAAAAAACCAAGCATACTTGATTCTGCAAGTCTTGTGCTCAGATGTCCTAGAATGTGACACACATTTTGGGAAACAAAATCCAAAAAAACTAACCTGAACCTCTCCAAGGTTCAACAAAGAAAATTGTACCTGGAATTGGATCTCAGATTGATAAGTTAATACTTGTAGTTTTAAAAAGGTTTGGTTGCTGTAAAAGAAAAAAATTATTATACAAAGGAAAGGCCTGCAGTAATTTTTGTGCACTTCAGGCTCAAGGTCTATTTTTCCCCTGTCTCACTTGTTGAATCCAAGACAAAAGAAACAATTACTCATCTTCTGTTTGTTTTTAACACTAGTTCAGGGCTCTAGTTGGATCAAATTATACTTACATCATTTGACAAACCAAATTTGGCAGAGGAGATGACAAAAAGTAGAACCAACATTGCTAAACAAGAAAATTTCAAATTGAAGGGACGTTCACAAGTGGATCTAATGACTTATTTCCATTGGCCCATTCAGTTCAAGATCCAATTTCTATTCAATAATCAAAATAATCAGTACAAAGTTTTTGACCACTTTGCCTATCGAAGTTTTTGTGTCATCAAACAAAGAAACACTAACCAAGATTTCATCTGATGTTAATGTTTCAAAGAGATGACATTGAACTCCGTGATATTTGAATGCTTCAATCAATTCGGGTTGAATTCCTTCTTTTAGAAATCTGACATATGTAGTGAAGACCATGTGTTTGAGATTAGGTACCTTCTTCAAAACATCTACTCTGCCCAATTTCAAAGCATGTTTCCAATACTCCTGACCGCGATCTAGATCTGTGATAATTGTTCTGACGTTCTTGAACATTGGAACTTCCAACCAACTAAGGTCTGACATGGGGACCGAGGGATAAGGCATATAATGAGTTGCAATAACTCGTAATTTTGAAAAATTTAAACCTGTAAGACTTTGGTTAAATTGTCCAGTGATCCACTGTGCAAAGAGACCTTCTACTGTATCTTTGACGGGCTCTAAAACTTGCTGTAAACCTTTAACCTGTTCCATAAAATTGAATTCAATAAATTTTAATGAGTTTTTTGAAGCTTCAGTGATCTTAGAAATCGCTTTCAAATTTTGACCACGAGTGAGAGAAAAGTATTTCAAATTCGATAGAGCTGGTGGTTTGACGTCCAAAAGTTCGGATGAATTACACGGAAGTGTTAAACGTTCAAGATTCGGAATTGCTGAGAATAATCCTGATAATGAATGCAGATCGTATGTTCCATCTGGTGTGTCATATTGAAATGTAATTGTTAATGATTTCAAATTTTCGATGGTCTTGATGGCTTTGATCAAATCAGGAGAAACTTTGAAGCAACATCTAAGCTTAATGACCAATGTCTCCAAGTTTTCGCCCAGCAATTCAATTAACCTTGCTATTTGCTCGATCCTAGGCCAACATGAATCAGGTTTTTCTGACGGCTCCTCACATCGCTCTGCGTGTGAATGCCCGAGTTCAAAAATGCTGAGTCTTCTAACAGGACATTGAAAATCAGGTGCAAATAAATCCTTGTTCCAGTTATTGATAATTTTTTCTGCATAACCCGAATCAAGTATCTCTAGTGTTTCGAAATAAAATTGTATAACAGCTTTAGACCAAGCTTTAGATACTAATCTCAAGTTGATTATCTTCGTATATGAATCAACATTAAAATAAGGCCTCGTAGCAGGAGCTCCATATCCCGTGGGTATAGTAAACAAATCATTCACAAATTCGGTTAAGATTTGATTAAAAATCTCTAATGGTAATTGATCAATCTTGTTCATTGTATCTTTGTTCTTGTTTTCGTTTGATGAGGTGATTTTTGATTTTTATAATCCGAGCGATTTGAATGTCCACCTATCAGTAAGATATTGTTGAAGTCCGATATCAAAATGTCGTGTTAGCCTGTTCGAGATGAAATCCAATCTTTATGTTGCTTTTTGATCGTTGATGTTGGGTATTTGGATGAGGGAAGGTCAATTTTCTGAATCCCCGAATAGCCCCGAATTTAGGTTTGAGCACTTCGGTCCTCGTTGATCATCCGGCCCAAAATTCAAGAGGCCCTCCCAGCAGCGAGCGAGCCCTGACTTTCTTTTACTTAGGCTGCCCCAAGAGCGAAGATCTCAAGGATCGGTGAACTCGCAGATAGGTACAAGTTGCAACCTGAGCTGGAATTTTCTCTTTGAGCAAACAATCTTCCTTGCACATCTGGTAACGGCAATCTTAAGTGGAAGAGCTGTATTTGAAAAGAGATTCAAAGTGGTGTGTCACTGATCACAAGGGAAGCAGGCCACCTCTGGTACTCCAGTAAAGGTAAGGTAGACTTGAATATTTGGAGATAGGTAAGGTTGCAGTGGAAATAAAAACAAAACATAAAGAGACAAAAATGTAACTAGCAAGATGACAATTGACTATCATCAAAAAAAAAGAATGTATGAAATGTTGAGAGTAGAGGATCCTGAATTGTAGGTGTATCTACAATTGAATCTAACTTCTTTCCATTGGTCCATTGAGATCAAGATCTAATTGCTGATAAAAAAAGTAAAGAAATCAGTATAAACTCTTTATAAACTCTTCCTTTCAAGATATTTGTGTGATCAGAGAAAAAAATATACAAACCAACATTTCATCTGATGTTAATCGATGAGTAAGATGACTCGACGTTGGTAACTCGTTATTAACAAAGTGGAATGGGGAAAGTTGGATACATGTAATTGTTCTAACGGGTCGGACTTTTCGCTAATCTTGTTTTGCATCACACAGATATGACATCATATCTGTTGACCACTATCGTTCAACTTTCCTCCATTCCCATTCTCATCGAATCTCATCACCAACTCGAATTTCTTCTAGTCATCTATCAAAGTATTATAAAATCGAGATCAAACTATAAGAATTATTAAGAAACTCTAGAAGATTTCTCTAAAAAATTTCTCTAAAAAACCGTTATTAAAGACCTAAATGAGTGATGATGGGTCATTCAATTATGAAGCTGCAAGAACTGTGGCGGTCCAATTGGAGACCTTATCCGCTGAATATGAAAAAGCTGGTGGTTCCAACGGGACGTCTATGGGGGAAATTCAATCATTATTCTCAAAGATCGTTCCTTACAAGGCACCAAATTGGTACCGACGATGGTCCATATTTGCTGCAGGACTTATTAAAACGGATGAAGCCGATCAACGGCCAATATTTCGGAACGAAGGTCCAACACCGACTAGACCGGTCATGTCAGATGACGATCCAGTCTTCATATTTGATCTGGCAACTAATCCGACGTTTCCAGAGGACATCGTCCTGGATAAACAAAGACAAAGTCATAGTCCAGATCAACAACCAAGTCATGTGCATATACTCACACAAAAAGAGATTGACATGGCTCAAACAGCCAGAAATTTACTCGACGCTGAAAATGATAAATATAAAGATAGATCACAACAGTCTAAATCTTCTCCTCCTCTTATTCAAAAGAAAATTAGTGAACATCGGAAGAGCCAGAAGACAGATGTGGATTCCGACGAATCAGAAGATTCAGATGCTAAGACAGCTAAAAAAGCTAAGAAATGGGACTGGATGTCGAGAGCAGAATCAGGTCCTAACTCAGAAGCTTCGTATACACCAGGAGCTGTTAGATTTGCTAAAGCAAAGAAAGGTTATCAATCAAGTCTTACCCAAGCTGTTAAAGGATTCAATCGTACAGTTAGACCTTCAGATTTTCCAAAAACTTTATCTAAAGAACTATTGGAAGGTGAATATATCGATTTACGAAGAATCAAGGCTGAATATATGGCGAAGCAAAAAGGTTATACTGCTCCTCTTACTCTGGATGGGCGTGATAAAAATTTGTCTTTACAAAATAAAGCTCTATCAGAAAACATCATGGATGCTCAAGAATGGCATTAATATTTCGACATCTTACAAAAAGCATATCAAGAAGCTTTCCCGAGCTGTTACGAGGATTTTGTCAAATATGCAGACTTTATCAAAGATCAGTTTATGTCTGATGGTTCAAAGGCAGATTGGATCTGCGTGGCAAGTTTCGATGCAGCATTACGAAGAAATTTCGCAGCGAGAGATTATATTTCTTTTGCAGATTTTGATCATTGGTGCTTATCAACCTTATTGACGAAGTACATGGCGGATGCTTATAAACCTCGTCAACCAGAAGCATCGACAAGTTCTCAACCATATCAAGGGCCAGCACGTCAGAGATCAAATCAAAGAGATCAGAACTTTATGAAAAATCAGAATTCTCCCTTATATTATAACCACAATTATAAATACAAAAGTGGTTTGGGCGTTGAAGATACTCGGAATATGCGGGAAGAAGAGCAGTTCTGTTTTGCATACAACCTTGGTCACTGCAAACTTGATGACAAATGTCCAAGGATGCACCGATGTGTTGGTATTTCACTTTATCGAGTATAGAATGTTGATGACAGTAACTAACACGAAACAATCAATAAATTTCAGAACGTTAAAGGGTGTCGAAAGCCACACCCAGGAGTTGAGCATACCTGAAGTAGAGCAAAAATCTTGCTTTGGGTTGGTTTTCTCTATGTGTTTTCTTTAGCGGAGTTATAAGAAACTAATATGTTAAGTTATGTAGTGATTCGAAAAAGCAAGAAGACATGATTATTGACAAGGATTCATCGCACAAATTCTTACGAGGATACATCTGGGACGGCATCAATGATCGAGGATGTTCTCCAGCGATTGAATCAAGTCTAGAAGCTCGACCATTTCCAGACGCACCGTCATTAGAAGAAGACATTGATGCAGCTTATGCTCTTAAGCAGTATCACTATTTGTTTAAGATAAATACACCAATTAAAGTAGACAAACTTGAAACTCTTCTTCTGAAACATCCTAATAGGCCATTCGTAGATTCGGTTTTGAAAGGATTACGTCAAGGATTTTGGCCAAGTTCAGCATTACCATCATCTGAGGTTATCGATGGGCCCAATCATGAATCTTGCAAAACATACAAAGAAATTTTAGACATCCAATGTCAAGAAGAAATTGATAAAGGTCAATACTCAGAAGAATTCACGACACTCCTCCCGGGTATGAAAGTTATCCCATTATTAATGACATCAAAGAAGGACTCAGTAAAAATGCGCGTGTGTTCAAATATGAGCGTGGGAAGACCGTCTCCAAATGATTTAATCGACAAGGATGACATTGAAGTCACCTATGATAGTTTGAAGAATTTTGCTCCGTATCTGATTGATTTGAAAAAAGAGAAACAAGAACTCATGCTTTGGAAATCCGATGTAGAAACCGCCTTCAGAATCATCCCTCTTCATAAACAATACCAACTTCGTCAAATTATGAGGATTAAGAACAAGAAAAGAATCGATTACAATTTAACATTTGGTTCTTCAGCATCACCTCATATTTGGTGTGGAGTTTTTTCCTTAGTCTTATGGATCGCGGAATTTGTCTTCAACATCAAGAAAATGAATAACATGATGGATGATGTTTGGGGGGTATGTGGTCGAGAAGAATTCATTATGTTTAAAGATCGAAAAATTCCTACTCCACAAGCTAAACTGTTATATTTGTTTGATATGCTGGGGATTCCATGGGTTTGGAAGAAACAAATCCATGGTCCAGTCATAGAAATTATAGGTCATATGGTGGATTCTAATAAGATGATTATGTATCTTCAAGAAGATAAGAAAATGAAATTACCTCAAGCTATCAAAAATTTTGTTTCAAAACCAAAAGGGAAATTGAAAGAGTGGCAAGAATTATTAGGACATGCTTCTTGGGCATGCACTTCGATGCCATGGGGTCGATTCGCTCTTCAAAGCTTATATGAAAAGATAGGTGGAAAATATGTAAAGTATTTACAAATTCCTCTAAATAAAGAGAATCAAGAAGATTTACGTTGGTTATTGAGCTATTTCAAGAAAGCAGAAGGTGTTAGGTTTATAGAATCAACACAATGGACTCTCCAAGATGCAGATTCGGTTTGGTTTACCGATGCTTGTATGACAGGCGTTGGCGTCTGGGAACCTGGTCCATGAATAGGTCGATTTGCAGTGTTTCCTCCACCAGCATGGAACATTTACTGGGGGGAATTGTCAGCAGTTATTTGTGCATTCGATTTTGGTATCAAACAGAAAGCAAAGCGCATATTCGTTCATTCAGATTCGAAATTAGTTTGTGATCTCTTCAATTCTCATTGTCCAAACAAAATTGTCAGACCGTTATTCAGGTACTGTGTGTCACGACTAGTAGAAGCTAATGCAGATGTGAAAGTCATGCACATCTCGAAAGATTTTAATTCGAAAGCGGATGATCTTTCGCGTCAAAAGGTATCTATTTCAAAGAAACAACAAGAAGACTTACGTATCCAAATCAATGCGACTTCAGTTTCTCAATTTCAGCTTAATCCAAATCTAGCGTCAGGAGGACAAGAAACAAATCTTTCTAGCGTCAACTTCTATACAGGTGACACATCATGGGTAGACCCAAAGAGAAGACGACTTTTATGAATATTTCTTTAGAAGACTTACAAAAGATATCACATGAAGATTGTCAAGCTACCGTTGCAAAGATTTCTTTAGCTAAGTATAAATGTGGTTTTCGTAGTTTTGCTTGTTTTTGTTCCAAGTTTCATTTACTATTCGTTCCAGACGCAAAGAATTTATGTGCATATGTTTCTTATTCCAGTAGAGTAGTTTCTCCAAGATCAGTACAGGCATATTTAGTAGGCATCAAACATATATTTAAATTAAATTTTCCTTCAATTAAGTGTGAAACAAGACATCAAGACGTGATAGATACTATGAAACATTGTATGAAAGAACTCTCAAGGCCGGTCATTAGGAAGAAAGCGTTATCTTTGAATCAGATTGAAAGTGTGGTTAAAGTATCATCTTTGTCACATGACGATCGCTTGTTTTTGGCAATGTTAGGTTTGGGTTTTGGAGGTCTTCATTGGTTAGGGGAACTAACAGTTCCAGATTCAGAGAAAAATTTTGATGGAAGAAAGGTTATTTTGAGATGTTCTCTTCAGTTTTCGAGTTGCAAGAAATTCGTACAATATCATCTCCCGTATTCAAAAGGCGACACTAAATTTGTCGGCACTCCGGTCATCATCCAGTATTTTCAAAACACTCAAGCTTGTCCAATTTGACTCATAAAATCATACTTAAGATCTCGAGACAGTAATTTCATTTCTTCACCCGAATTATTCATCACATCATCCGGTTCTCTTCCATCACGCTCTTGGTTTCTCAAGAAATTCCATCTTCATTTCGATAAATCATTCTCAGGTCACTCATTACGATCAGGAGGTGCAACAGCTTTAGGACAGACAGGCGCTTCTATGGATTATATTAAAAGTGCAGGAAGGTGGTCATCCAATGCTTTCCTAATTTATGTCCGAGGACATGCTGCTCTTCGTCTTCCAGAAAACCAAAATCACGTCATTGGGAGTTTATCCCACGTGGGTTATAATGTATTTTTTAAATAGTAAGTGGTTCATGATCAAGACTGGTTTATGGTTTTATACCTTTGCTTGAAGATATCTATCTATTACGGTTAATGGGTTCTCCTTCCCTTTCGAGGTTATGGTTCATGGTACCTTAATATATTAAAAAGGACCTTCCATGATGGTGTTTTTGATCATTAATCTTATTCTTTATTCGTGAATGTGGTCTTTGGAGTGATACTGACAATAATGATTCCACTTCCTCTCCTTCTTCACCACTCTTTTTGTATGCTGTTAGGCGGGTCGGAGAGGGCGTGTTTACATTATGTCAGCAATTTATTCCCTTGGCTTAGGCGTTGGGCTTCGCACCAAATTCCACAGTTCCTTGGTATTATCATACCAAACAGATAGTGAGTTTAACAAGTCCCATTTCTCGATGTTGGTAACTCGTTATTAACAAAGTGGAATGGGGAAAGTTGGATACATGTAATTGTTCTAACGGGTCGGACTTTTCGCTAATCTTGTTTTGCATCACACAGATATGACATCATATCTGTTGATCACTATTGTTCAACTTTCCTCCATTCCCATTCTCATCGAATCTCATCACCAACTCGAATTTCTTCTAGTCATCTATCAAAGTATTATAAAATCAAGCCCACCCTCCCAAGACCCAGTTATGAGAGGTAAAGACAAATCATATTACAAACTTATTCTATTCGATTTAAGGCCATTATCATCCATTTATTTATTTGATTCATTTATCTTTTTATCTCTTTAATTTTTCTATGTTCTAATTCTTTTATCAGTTGTGGTTTATTCATTATTTAATTATTTTATTGTGTCCGATTTATTATTATCCAAGATTATCCAGAGTTTCCTATTTAAGTTCTTTTCTTTTTAAGTTTTATTAATTTAGTAACAGTTGTTAAGGCCTCTAGCCACCCCGTAGGGCGTGTTTACATTATGTCAGCAATTTATTCCCTTGGCTTAGGCCTTGGGCTTCGCACCAAATTCCACAGTTCCTTGGTATTATCATACCAAACAGATAGTGAGTTTAACAAGTCCCATTTCATTGAACTCCAAAGAATCCAAACACTTTGATCAATCTAGGGTTGATATCCTTTGTCCTAGATTTATCGGGAGCACCTGAGAATCCGGGTTTTTTTCCTGATAATCCGTGAGAATCTGATAGTGATAAAATCATGAGAAATACAGCGTACAAGTCCCTCGATAACAGCATACTCACAAGCATACCACAGGAGGGTGCGTAAAAGTAAGAAAAGTCAAACCTTACTGTCAGTCAAGCAAAAGCGCATGTCACAGACCTGACAAACACTGTACCCTCCAAGGGAAAAATTTTTTGGTTTGTTAATGTTTCACACCACCACATCAAAAAAATTTAACGCGCGAAGACCAACCGCAATTCCGCCTATGGATACCAAGTTCAACACCCTTACATTCCTGACCTATCCACCAGGTCTGGTTCCACTTCAATTCAAAGCCAGCATCCACACTGGGAAATCCCACTATCCACGCATTTGGGATCTTGTCAACATCAATCTTGTTATTAGCTCTGGGTCTCTGTTCTGGATCCAAGCACACCATCACCATTGTTTGATCCATCAGTCAAAAGCCTTTGTTTTTGGTCCCTGTCCTGGATTCGCCAAGCTCACGGATATCATTCTTTGATCCATCAGCAAAAAAAAATTGTCTTCGGTCTCTGTCCTGGATCCTTTAAGCACACGGTCATCATCTTTTGATCAACCAACATCAGCAAAAAACATCATTTAGTTTTACTTGTATAATCAATATCAATCAACATGTTTACAAAGAGTGTGATGCTGACTCTTCATTTCTACACACAGATGGTAGTACTTACTCTCATCCACTTGAAGTATGTTTTTGTCACTCCTGGATTCCTTCCTGAACCAGGAGGGAAAGGCACACCAGTGGTAATCTACTGTCCTACCTGCTCTGCTCAGCTCAAGTACTGGACCCCCAAAGTGGACGCTTGGTTTCTTGGTGTAAGGTGACACTGCACTTTTTTCCACTTTTATATATGATGCTGATGGTCATTCTGTTATTTACAGTGTCCCAATGGCCAAGATCATAACACGCGCGCATGGCGCTGCGACCAATTCAATCACAAAAGGGCTCTGATCAACCTTGGATGTCCACGCCCCATCATATCATCTGAAAAAGACTGGGGCCCACGTGTATCACCAGCCGGACGCGTACTTGACCCACACCCCACCTCAAACCCAGCTGACCACTCTTACCACACGTCTTATGGTCAAGCACCAAATCGATTACAACCCTGGGAACACCCATTCCAAGGACGCGAACTTCTAGGACCCATTCACACCTTAGGATGGCACTGGACCCCCGCCGGCTTACTCCCCGCAGCCTCATCTTCGAGTCACCCTGCAGCTTCAACATCTGGACTTTAGCGCAATGCAACTCCACTGCGTTGCAAAGGACAAGATGTGGGGTCTCTGCCAAAGGGGCATTGCAGAATAGCCAATAAGAAGTGCCAATTTCAATACTGCCAGGCAGTATGTATTTCTTGTTTGGTTTTCCCCAAAAAAACCCACAGTACAATGGATGGGAGGAGCTAAGATTGTTTCTCAGTGTTGTAATCATTACGCCCCAGGAACTTGTGGTAGTCACCCTTGGCCAAACTCAAATTCAAATAGCTTACCACCACTACAGCCGATACCATCCTCATTGGCCACCCCACAGACAAAAAAAACAAACACCAGAACCCCTCAGGCTTGCCCTCATCAGTGGGCACAAACCTCCAACTCGCTTGGTTGCAAACTGCCAAGAGAGAGTGTAATTGCTCTCCACCAGAATTGTGCAAAACAATTCAAACCCAAGGTTGAATTTGATAACACGAAGATAGTGACTATTTCCTTTGGTTGAATGTAAGGGAACACAGTGTACCTGACAGCTCATACCCAGCTGACCAATTCTGTACTACCAGGAAATCAAACCGGAAATACTTACAGCTTATTTCAAAGACTGGCCTCAAGCCCGTCTGGAAGAATGTGATCTCTTGATTCAGGCAGTTCTGGGTGAGACAGGCGACAAATGGAACCGGGCAATAAGCCTATGGGATTTTACTATTGATGCCTGGGTGAGTTATTCAAGTGTACATTTTCTGAGTGAATGAATCCACTGCTGATGGTTTACTATGTCCAATGCTTGTAGCGCGAGATACCAGTTGCTTACCCCCATCAATATCCCCCAGATGACCAGAAAATTGTTGTCCGGCTGCCCAAGATCAACGCTCTGACCCCCAGCTTACCTCAAAGCACTCCCCTCACTCCACATGTGAATGCTCTGAACACCTAGCTGGTACCCAAAACCCCATCAACTCAGTGTATTCCTTCAACACCTGATCATCTTCTGACCAGAGGTGCTTCCAGCGCAACTGGGAAAGTCTTGGAAGGTGAAACCAGATTGAGAATACCTGACACCCAGCCGCAGGATAAATCAGTGGTAGCTAAGGATGTCATTGACCTAACTTTGTTACCTGATTCACCTGGATCCTTGCCTCGCCAGGCTGATGTCACTGTCAAATGTGAACCCAAAACAGAAGATGGGAATCCCAAAGACGCAGGAAACGTAAGTGCAAACACACAAATCAAACTCACAAAAAACAACATATGTCCATTAAAAAAGCTGGCAATCATCTCTTTACATCTGTATAGCTCTGAGATGGGGAAGTCACAAGGAATTTTAGACACTGCCAAACTTAAACGTGGATGGCTGTCCAATTCTGTCCTGATTTCGAGCCTCCTGGCCTGGTACCACAAGTCCAAAACCAGGGACTTGCCGGTCACTTGGAAAAAGTATTTTGGGCAGGAATGGAAGATGGTGTTGCCAACTGTGTACAGGTATTGAGCTTGGATCAAAGAAATAGAATACAAGCGCTTTGCCACTCAATATCAATCTCAGCCTTATGCAATGGTAGGGGAGGCGTGCATTTGTTTCAGGCAAGAATTCAATAAGATTGCAAGTGTTGGCAGTGGAGGTGCAATGGATTCAGGGGAGGCGGCCTCATCCACCTCAAAAAGTGGATAATTTCTTTTCTAAAGAGCAATTTTCACCTTGCTTCCTTTCTCTATATTTCTCAATTTGTTTGTGTGTGCTTTTTGAAAAAAAGATAATAAGGTATATATGTCAGCAATGAGAAGTCTTGCAGAGCAAAACATCCAAGATACTGACAAAAAAATATATTTTTGAAAAGAAAACAATAACAAAAATACAATTTGAAATACACATCTCTATACTCAAGTTTCAAGAGTGTAATAACTGTTATCAACAATAATGTATTTTTTATTAAAGTATTTCGTAAAAAGTAAGTTTTTTTCCTTTTACAAAAAATGCAGAAGTTCACCATAACAGTGAACTAATGACATCACCATCCCACATCAACAGGGCAAGGGTGAAATGAAACCCTGCCTAGGAAAAGCTTCTACGCAGCTACAGCAACCAGTACCTTAAACAAATTAAGGGATCAACCAACAAAACCAGCCTGAGCAGAAATACTTCCAGACCCTGGTAAAATTTAAATCCAAACGTAATCTGAACGCCTGATGAATTGGAATCATCAGTTAAATACAAGCTACTATCAGCTAAACAAAGAACAGATTATCCTTTTATCATCACAAAAACCTAGAACTAAAATTCCCTTCTACGAATTAGAACAAAACTATATCCCAGCCTTTATCTCTTCTACTTTTGGAACTACTCTCGAATTACAAATAAAACTCTTCTCTCTAGATTTGATCCGTTTGAAGTGAATTCTCTTCCAGATACTTAGAAGTTCTATTGGCTCCTTCATCTTTCTCTTTTCTATTCTCTTTTAAAACCATCCATTTAGATTTTTTACAGATTGTCTAGTGCTGTCTAGTCGAATAAAATCTCTGTCGTTTTACTTTTTGATACAAATATCAACTAACGCTGAAGCGTAACATAAAGCACAAATACGAAACTCATACTCACTTTAGAAGGCTATCTAGTAAGTGCACTAGATTAGTAAACGGGCAGCAGTATATTAATTCTGCACCTAAGGACTTATAACTAACAATTATAAGTTACTTCCTTTTCCAACAGTTACCTACAAAGAATTGAAAAATAACCATCAAGAGTTTACTTTGAATAAAAGTTGTAAATCTCTTAGAGGATACATTTCGTAAGTATTATTCAGCCCGTATCTCTGATTCTCCTGAAGCCAGAGTGTCAGGCTGACAATATACTTCATTGAATAATAAATAATTTGGGATCATTTGTCAACAGGGTTTCTTTTTGTTTTTCTTAATTGATCATTATGAAATAAATGATCCAGTTCAGTACAAATTAAGTAAGCCGCCTGCTGTCTGTTGACATTATCATCTAAACATTATCAAAGTTGAAAACCGATGAGGAATGAAGAAAATCCAAGACATTCAAAATTAATAGTGGTTTGTCAATGCAGACATTGTGAGCATAGCAAAAGTGGAGGTTGGGGCATACTTCAAGTTATGCAAAGGCTATCGATGATACCCCTTGAAACAACACCCAGTGTGGTCTGCGACAAGCCGAAGCTCCAGTTTTCCTGCTGAGTGGACATGCACTTACTGAGAACTGGACTTGAGATATCATTGTAAGAGTAGTCAGTGTCATTGAGGCTTGGTCTTTGGTCTTTGTGGCGGACATCGCTGAAAAAAGGCTTTCAATTCCAGCAGCGTGTGGTATGATCTCTAGTAGTTTGATCACAAAGCCTTTCAATAAATTTGTCTGTAAAGTTGTAGGTAGATCAAGCCAATAATCAGGAGAAAGAGAGACTACAGATGATTCACACTACACCAAATGTAATCTTTACCGGGCGGTAAAGAAAACTACTGACATAGAAAAGTCCTGAGGCAACAGGAAGAGGGCTAAAAATCTGAAAAAATATGCACCTTGTTCCTAGATGTTGGGGCGTCATGATGAGTATTTTTTTGTATTTTACACACGGATATTGGTTAATGTACTAACAATAAAGGCTGAGAATCATCAAAAACCCACCGTAACAATACCTGAAATTTGGCCCTTGATTTTGAAGACAGGATTTTGGAATCTTCAAACATCAATAACTTTCGCAGTTCTGAATCAAATCACTCGACTTGAAGTGCATTAAAAAGGTGAGCCTTTCCTCTACATTTTTCATTGGGACATCACATCTGTAGCTGGTCTAAAAAAGATCCTACAGAGCTATTCATGCAGAACTGTTTGAACATATGTAGAGTGTTTAAATGACTAGATAGAACCTTACTGACATTATGAAGTGTGAAGGAGAATAGTTCAGCTTTTGAATGAACCAAAAATCGAGTTATTTGGAGCAGAATTGCAAAAGTTATTGAAGTTTTTAGACCACAAAATATTGTCTTCATACTCATGACCCAAATTTCAGGTATTGTTACATGTGCGTTTTTGATGATTTTCAGTGTTTGTTGTTAGTACATAAACCAATATCTGTGTGTAAAATACAAAAAAATACTCATCATGACGCCCCAACATCTAGGAACAAGGTGCATATTTTTTCAGATTTTTAGCTCTCTTCCTGTTGCCTCAGGACTTTTCTATGTCAGTAGTTTTCTTTACCGCCCGGTAAAGATTACATTTGGTGTAGTGTCAAGAACATGTTAGAAGATGAATGCTCAAAATTGTGCAAGTAAGAAGACATACCTTTCTTTGCTGTACCCAAATGACCTTCGCCATCGAGATACAGGCGAGCCTGCTCTGCGGTGTTGATAGCTTCAGCTTGTGAGGATCCCCAAAAGTATGATAGTGTAACTATTGCTTTTTGAATTGTCTTGATGGGGTAGGCACATGAGACAGTTAGATGGCGACAACTTGGAGTGAGGAACAAGGCCAATATGAAGACAGGGTCGTTGTAATAAAGCCAAGATCAAGTGTTCAAAACACTTAGACAATGGTACTTGTAATTGGTGTAACCAGGCCAGGTTGAAAGATCGATTTTTGAGGTTTTGTAATACACTGAAATCAACTCTTTCCATATATCACCAAGGGTTGTTTTAGCTGATTCTAAGCGGCTGAGAGCATTTATAACTGGGTTGAGAAATAAAACAAGGGCCTTATTTGCAGTGAAGTGGTTTCGAGTCCGAATGATTTGAACAATGTTTTTTGGAATTGTGGGAGTGTCCATAGATTGATCTTTGGACATTTCTACACATTCAAGAAATCCGCTTTCATGTGCATCAACAGAGAGACAAACTTTCATATGCGTGAACCAATGACTGTCACATGAGTAACTTAAACCATGAGTTACACCTTTTTTTCGCCAAGTATCAAGATGCTTGGTCCAGTGATGTGATGATCCAAAGTACTTTACTATCTCTTTGTTATCAAGAACTACCTGTTTCATTGCTGGGTGGTTAATTAAATCTTTGGCGATCAAATTGAAAAAATGTAAACAACAAGGAGCTCCGATGACATGAGGGTGATCTTCACGGATGAGTCTCTGTAAAATGAAACGGAAGATTATAAGGATCAATGGAATTGAAACCAAGGAAATGATTTTTAAACACTTACACGTAGTTTGATCATCGGTGATGGATTATCAGTGACCACCGCAACAATCTGTTCCCACTTGATTGCCAATAATTTGAGGGTATTATAAAGACTTGTACATATGTTTTCAGAGGTGTGTTGGATTTGGTGAAGGTTGAGTGTATCAATAAAATGTTTAACTCATGTTCCTCAGAGAGCCAATACTGCATAAACACTGTTGCGCGAGATGTCAGACCATCTATCCAGAGATATAGTAAGACCAGATTGTTGGGCAAGATTGTGGTGCATCTCACGCACACACTGAGCATGAACTTGAGGCAGAATTCAGTTTGTTATAACATATTGAGTAGCTGTGGTTATAGGGGTGACTGACAGGTGTTTTTGGAACTCAATGAAGTGCTTATTTTCAAGAGGAGAGAATGGTACATGGTCAGTAATCAAGGCAAGGCAGAGATGTTTATTAATCTGATTCATTTTCTTGTCGTCCCTCTTGCAAAAGTGGTGGAGAGATGAATCCATGAAGTTATGAACAAATTTGGGTTTGCTGGATGTTGAAGCCAATGCGGAATCATCATGAACTGTTTCTAAGTCCGAGCTGGAATCAGGTTTTGGTGTGAGTGTATTGATGTATGCTGACTTCTTATCTCTGGGGATTAATTCACCACCAACATTTTTACTTCGCATGTGTGTATGTCAGCACACATAGCCTCTACACTGGCGATGAAAAATCACATTTTTTGAGCGCGTTATGATGAACATGTGATTTTATATCACATGTTGATGAAGCAATCAAATTCGTCTTGCGAGTTTAAGTTGCAAGACTGAAAGCAATCAAAATGAGTTGCAATGTTGAATCGCGAGGCAAGTTCAGCAATTCAAGCCCGATGCGACCAAACGTTGCTCATGTGAACATGCAATACGAACCCTTGAGCAATACAATCCTTTGAATTGGATCAAAATTGAGCAATACAAACATTTGCTCGTTTCATTGAGATGCAATATATTCCTTTGATTCGCATCATGGTGAGCAATATAAATGTGGTATTGCTTCTTCTTCAGATTTGATGTGCTTATTTGAAACATTGATTTATGGACAACTTGAACACTGATACAAAATTTATGAATGAAAACAGATCTGATCAACCATGATTTCCTTCTTTTGTTAGACGTAAGAACAAGTACAAATTGAGGCCAAGGAGAAATTCCCAACATTTTGGGAACAATGCGACAAAGGAAAACAAAGATTCACTTTGGGAGATATCATAAGATTCAATTTATTAATTGTGTATGAGATTGTCATGAAACACTTGAAGAAAACAAAACCAAGGTGAGACCATAATGATATATATGAATTTGAAAAGAAACCGGGTATCAATTGATGTTGTGCTTGCCAAAGAAATGGGCCCCAGGTGGCTGACCACCCCTAGTGCGCCAAATTGGAACAACAAAGGGGCAACAAAATCTGGGGCTACACAGAAGTTGAAAGTATCATAAAATTTAACATACCAACCAAATCTTCAGATTAC